ACTACATCTCTGTTAGAGACGCTGCGCAACTACCATTGCCGCGAACGCTTTTGTCTGCGTCAGCGAATCAGCTTTGTACCTGCGAAAACGCTTGATATTGTTTTCCAATTAACGAAAAAGGAAAATCATCTCAAAATACCCTTAGAACTGAGCTAGTGCAGCTATATGCCTTGCAAACACAGTATGTACTACCCGCTGCAACCAACCTCTTTTTCAGTAGTTTCGACATGTCGATCTAATGTAAACGTGACGTTGGTGCTGTCGTTCCTCTTCAAATGTGTTGAGGTGAGTACCGTTTTTACAGCTCGTATCTATATGTTTGTTGCACTTGTTCAGATTTTACTCGTAATTGGTTACCAATATTCATTTGCGAAATTTTTGAATGTAGATAAGATTTTAACCACTTTAATCTACCAGAGAGCATTGACATCATTTTGCAGGTCTTCACCGAATACTTCAAAGATGTTGAAGAAGAATCTGTACGGGATAATTTTGTTGTCATATATGAACTTCTTGACGAAATGATGGATTTTGGTTTCCCTCAAACAACAGAAAGTCGAATTCTGCAGGAGTAAGTAGCACAGTTCGTTCTTGCCCATTACACTCTATAATTTATACACTTTTTACCACCTCGATTGTAGATTCATTACACAAGAGGGCCACAAACTTGAGGTTGCACCGCGGCCGCCAATGGCTGTTACAAATGCTGTCTCTTGGCGATCAGAGGGTATTAAGTACAGGAAGAACGAGGTGTTCCTCGATGTGATCGAGAGCGTCAATATGCTAGTGAGCGTTCTTTGGTTCGCACGTAGTCTTTTTTTGTAGAGTTTCCGATACGATTTTCTATTATAGTTTGGACTATATGATTTCCATCTCTTGTTACGCTTCACTTTACGTTTTACTGTTTTGCTGGTTTACTCTGAAAAGTGCGTGCTTCAGGCTAATGCAAATGGCACAGTCTTACAAAGTGAGATAGTTGGCTCCGTCAAAATGAGAGTTTACTTGACTGGAATGCCAGAATTGCGACTTGGGCTCAATGATAAAGTGCTCTTTGAAGGAAGCGGACGTAAGTTTTTGCTTAATTATTTAAAGTTTTTCTGTTTTTGGTATGTATAGTCTTTTCTGTAGATTCACTTTTTGAATTATTTTGTAAATTGTATGTATAATGTATGTATATTGTATTAATTATATGAATTCTATGTCGGCAACTAAATAGTGCCATTATATTGATTTCAGTAGATTTTTTTTACATCTGTTTCTCACCATTGAGCCAATCTGTTTCTAAATATCTACCTAAAGGCAGCGGCTCGGCAGAATTTCGTTTCCCAATTTTTCACCTTTTCGGAACCTTCTCGCCATTAGGAACCCATCTGGGCTTTTCCGCGCATGAAAGTGGCAAAAATGAGCTTTCTCGAATTTTCCCAGGTCCGCGTTCAGTGCAAAGTACGCGTAAGTGGGCGGGGCTGGAAAGGAGAGGCGGGGCGCGAAGACTTCCGGCCTACTGCATTGAATGCAGACTTGAAAAGCTTTAAAAAAGGCTCACTTTTGCCATTTTCATGCGCGGAAAAGCCGAGGATATGGGTTACTCATGGCGAGAAGGTCCCGAAAAAGTGAAAAGGTGGGAAACGAAATTTTGTCGAGCCGCTCTAAGCGTGCCTGATGTTGATCTGACCATCTTGAGCAACCATTATTCTTTCAAGCCTCATTATCTAATCTTTTTATTTGCTGATTGCCCTCAATTTTTTACCCACATGGTATCTGATAAAATGTCAGGAGTTTGTTATCTGTAACAGGCAACATTAATCGCTTCAAAAACTCAGTTTGCGTATTCCCCCGCTGCTATGCAAAAAGTCCATGTTGCAAACAGAAACGAAATAGTTTCAGTACAGTCATCGCATTGTGGGCAATGTTTATCTAAACGCTTTTCCTCGAAAATACATACGGATAAAGCACGTTGCGTTCGATCGTCTCATTGATTACTGCATTCTGAACGAAAGTTTACGAGTTTACTCGTTGTTACACCATAGCGACGTGACTCTTCTACTTTACGCATCTCTCCAACGCTCGCAATATTTTTGCATACAGCACATTCGCAGTAACTCTTACTAGTTCGAGTTCTTGC